AGAGAGAGAGAGAGAGAGAGAGAGAGAGAGAGAGAGAGAGAGAGAGAGAAAGAAAGACGTAGACAGAGGAGATATGAGAGAGCAGAGAGAGAGAGTGTGTGTGTGTTTGTATGTGTGTGTGTGTGTGTGTTTGTATGTGTGTGTGTGTGTGTTTGTGTGTGTGTGTATGTGTGATTGACATATTGATTGATTGACTGATTGACTGATTGATTGGTTGATTGATTGATTGATTGATTGATTGATTGATTGGTTGATTGATTGGTTGATTTTGTGTGTGCTTGTGTTTGTGAGAGAGAGAAAGTTTGTCTTTTTTTCTTATGGTTTTGTTCCTATCCTGAACGTTTGTTTTTTTCGTTTTCGCAGGTTGCAACCGTTGTTGCTGGCACGCGGGCGAAGACGGCGACAGACGACCGCCAAGAACCGTACAGAGGGGACGAGGCCACGAACACGGCCGCGTGGCCTTGTCCGCGGACAGGGACACATCTACGCGGAGGCAAAAACTTCCGCGCGGTGTAGGACTATGCCGCGTCTCCGAGAGGCGTTGCAAACTTGCAGGTCCTACTGCGGAGGTGGAACGGGTCGGGTATTCAGGGGGGGGTGTCGCCATTGATAGTGAGGGGGGAAGCGGTCATCATCAACAGTGGGGGGGAGGGGTCATTATCAACAGTGGGGGGGGGATTGGGGGTGGCCGAGGAGGTGAGGACCGTTATCATCTGAAATGACGGGTGGTGCAGGCGGTTCATAGGGCGGCAAGTTCATTCCGGCGACCGATGCGCAAATGTAGGAACTGCGTAGGAAGTCGAGAGTGTGGCGTCATGTGATGCAAGGTCAGAGGGTGAGGACGTGGGAGAAGAGGCACGGGGACTACAAGCTGCGCTGCAATTACTGCAAACATGTGTGGCAGGGCAATTTGTTTAAATTTCAGTTCCACTTCACGCAGTTCAAGAGGTGTGTGGCAGCAACGACCGACATGTTTGTGGATATTTGGAACCACACGAATACGAGTTCGATCAACGTCATCACCCCGGTATCTTGGCGTACATGAGGGAGCGCGATATCACGGATAGACGAGTCGTGGACGTCCATCGAGGTAGTTGCAGGGGCAGGACGGGTGGGACACAGTCGCGACCACAGGAGCGTGATCCTGTGGAGGAGGTGCAGGAGTTCCTTGACGAGGAGGCCAGGCGAGCAGTGGCCGGGGGCATTGAGGAGGGTGGAGGGACAGGCACGCCACTCGATTTACCGGGAGAGGAGGTGGTTATGACTGCGCGAGAAAAGAGGCCGGTGGAGAGTGGAGGTGAGGGCGTCCCGCACGCGTGCAAGAGACAACGGCAATCCAGACTGGACGAGATGTACGATCCAGATGGGCAGGCCGGATTCAGGGACACCTTTTTGCAGTGGGTCTACGATTTCGGTATCCCATTTGCCGCATTTAGGGGGCAGTCATGGCTTCGGCACAAGAAGCAGTTGGCCTCCATGCCTCGCCGAGTCCGGCCAGTCTATCCATCGTTCAAGGATATTGGGGGCGATGGTATTGTAGATCAGCGAGGGAAGGTTGCCGCGATGTTGAGGGAGGTCCGTGGTTCGTTCGAGTCGGTAGGGGCCACCATTTTGTCGGACGGTGGGCAGTCGCGAGACGCTAGGCCTATAGTTAACTTCCTCGCAGCCGCCAAGCACGGTGCTCTCATGTACGCCACCGTCCAGCGAGACGGTTCAGTGCCTGAGACGACACAGATCGTCATGAGGAGGTGGAAGGCCATTTTTCGGTCTTTCCCTCCGAAGGACGTGTTGGCCATTTGCACGGATTCTGCGTCGAACTATACGTCGGCCGCAAAGCTTCTTGCAAAGGACTCCGATCCGCAAATCCGCCGTATCACTTGGCTCCCGTGTTCCACCCACGTCGCCAACTTGATGTTGTCTGACATCGGGACACGGGTTCCTTGGGTTACGGACACCATTTTCAGAGCTCGGGCGTTGGTGCGATTCATTAAATCACATGGCGCGGCTTATCACCTTTTCAGGGTGAAGAGTTGTCGCCACACATTAGTGCACCCGGTGGAGACGCGATCTGCGTCCGTTTTTTTTATGTTTGTGTGTTTGCTCGCTAGGCATAATGCTTTGGAGAGCATGCTTCATGATGACAAGTGGGACAAGATCCCATGGGAGTCGTCGAAGCGTAGACAGGCTCTGTGGGTTCGACAGGTCATCCGGTGCGTCGATTTCTGGCGCAACGTTCAGCACGCTGTCGCTGTCATGACCCCTGTCCACTAGCTGTTGAGGAGATTAGACAGGGGCGGCATGATCATGTCCACGATTTACTCATGGTCGCAGGAGTTGGTATGGCAGGTGGCTGTTGCTGACGTCCCTGATGACATGCGGGGACCGTGCGTGGAGGCGGTGCAGATCCACACCACGCATATGCTTGAGCCTACTCACGCTGCGGCGCACCTGCTCAACCCCCGCAGACACTCTCTCCGTTACTACGAGTCCGTCTGCAGGACAGCTGCGGACTTTGAGGTGGTTACCGAGTGCGACTCGTTTCTGTTAGTGCAGACAGGCGGTGATCCGGTGGGGGATATATACTCGCGGGTGCGGGAGCAGATGCGGTCCTTCCATGCTAGGATCGGGCACACAACAGACAGGGTGACGAGGGACGCGGAGGCGGAGGCCTGTATCAGGGATGAGGAGACGAGCAGGTGCGTATCCTGGTGGGTGGAGCACGACGCATGCTTCCCAGACTTGCAGGAGATCACTGGTCGTGTGATGCACATGAAGACGTCCGCCTCTCCTGCTGAGAGGAATTGGGCGGAGCATGAGCGCATCCACACGGTCAAGCACAACAAGCTCGAGTTCAAGAAGGTCGCGCAGTTAGTTGAGATTGCTACAAATCTCAAACTACTTGGATGCAGCGAGCGGAGTGGTGGGTACGTTCTTCCGTGGGGTCACATCGCGACCCTGGCTGAGGCGCAGCTAGAGGAGTACACACCCCCTGTGGTCGACGACGAGGATGAGGAGGACGAGCCTGAGCCAGAGGGGTGGGGAGCCAGAGCTCAGTCAGCAGTGCCGGCACATGAGATCAGTGCACAGGTTCGTCGCTTCCAGCAGCAGGGTGCTCGTCGACCTAGGGGAGTTGCTGAGGTTTTCGGTGCAAGAGCGGAGATACTGCTCCCTTACGACCACGTGCCTCCGCCGCCAGCAGAGCCGGTGCAGACGTCGGAGGAGCAGACGGACACGGAGGGCGAAGAGGATTTGCCACTTGGTGTAGATAAGGGTGCGGAGAGACTTTACTACACGTACGGAGGAGGAGCAGACGAATTTCTGCCACGCTGCACATTTATTCGAGAGAGCGACGACGATTCCATCCCCGCCACCGATGTAGGGTTGGAGCGTGGACAGCGAGACGCTTCAGGCTCCGCGAGTGGAGTTGCCACACGTGGCGCGAGTGGAGATGGTTTAGGCGGGTCTAGTGGTGTACCCTGTGGTGGGTGCAGAGAGAGGGAGGTGACCGGGCTGGACAGCGCGGACGATGAGGACGACGAGCCGTTGATGCTTCGCAGAGCACGGTTAGCGTAGCAGGGAGCCTCGCCTGCCGCCGAGGGTCTTAGGAGATCAACGAGGCTGCAGACGCTGCCGGGATCAACTTCAAGTGGTAGACGCGGGGCGTCGGACCATCTAGACGATATCAGAGCAAAGGCGCATTTGCCTAGCCAGCATACACCCACCTTAGTACCTCGAGGCGACAGGGAGCAGATGCAGCTGTGCACAAGTGACTTTCAGGGCCTTGGACTAGGATTTGCGGGCAGCGGTGTTCGAGGACGGAGTGACGGGCAAGAGAGAGTGGAGGATGAGGCCGATTATCATCCTATGGAGGGTGGTGGAGCAGAGTCCACGGAGGAGCTCCATGCCCAGATGGAAACCAGAGGAGGAGCAGCGGCTGGAGCAGTTGCAGAGAGAGTGGGCAGGTAGAGATGCGTACATGGCGGAGCAGCAGCGTCTTCGGGACTTGGAGACGGGTACTGAAGTCCCTGATGCGGGCGGTGTCGAGCATAGCGTTCCTACAGTCCCGCACCCGTTTGCAGCCGATGCAGCAACACCCGACACCCCAATGCCCGAGACGTCGCCCCAGGGAGATGTCGACTCTGGGTCCACGATGGGAGGAGACTTAGGTGCGTCTGAGTATGGAGATCCGGCCGTGTCCAACGTCATAGTTGGACTGTGTGCGGCGGGCACGTTGCAGCCTGATCCTCCAGCCACTCAGGAGGCAGTTCCTACGGACGGCGATTTAGGCGAGTTGGATGGATGCCGCAGACCTGATGCGGACGGCGATGATGGGGCGGGTGATCCCGACCGTCTTGCACCTGCGCACAGTGCCGGTTCAGGTCGGTCGTCACACGGGCCGATTGGGGGTGACGCATGTGGACCTGTACAGGGTGATGCACATGTGGACGAGGCCGGAGGCAGTATTTCGTTGGTGTTGGTGTTGCGTGATCCTTCACCGGTGGCGCACGAGGATCCGTCACATCCTGCGGAGGGTGGAGGTGGTGTTGATGAGGAGGGGGAGGGCGATACAGCACATGACCGTCCTGACCCCGTGAGAGCAGATATGGAGGAGAGGCAGATTACACCAGGCCTACTTGACCCTGACGCGTTGCACCGTGCGCTAGTGGAGGATCCGATTAGCAGGGGACCTGCAGGATCTCTCGGGGTCGGGGTTCGCTCGCCCCCGCTTTACACACCTTTCAACCCTTTGTATTTTGGCTCTCCTGCGAGCTTGGAGCACGAGCAGCAGCGTTTAGAGTCTATCAGACCAGCAACTTCGGGTGCACGTACGACTCGCACCCCCCCAGTTACACCTCCTCCACGGACTACGCTCCACGGTACTCCAACAACTATCACGGGTAGTATTGCCGAGAGAGGCCACATGCCGTCGTCGTTGGTGGCTCGCCTCGACACACAGCAGTCGCTTCACCGTCCGTAGAGCACAATGCGACGAGTTGATGATGGTGTGAGGGGTGATTTTGCGGCGCAGCAGGCACGGTTGAGGGAGGAGCAGAGGCCGGCACCGAGTATGAGGACTACTTATCACATTCTCGGACTGCCTACATACAGCGCGCGCAGAGACCTACGTGTAGGTTCACGCATGGCCGCGCCTGCGTTGTACACTTCCGGAGAGGACGGTGTGCCTGCGCCTCGTGGAGAGCGATCTCACACCAGCATTAACGAGATAGAGTCTCATATTGCGAGGGACGAGGCGCGATTGAGGGGCTTGCACGACAGATTGGACAGGGAGCGCGCGATGTTGGCGGCGACGTGTGCCTCAGAGGCCGACATAGAGGAGGAGCCCATCGACGTTGTGAGGTGCAGGGAGAGAGAGAGAGAGAGAGAGAGAGAGAGAGAGAGAGAGAGAGAGAGG